CTAAACACTATTTTTATAGTTCAAATCAATATTTTTTCTTTGTTTCTTTTTTTTTTTCAACAGTACAGCTCGCCATGTGTCAACATAAAATTTGTCCATACCATTCTCTCATGTATTTTTTGTTCGACTTGTTTCGATCATAATTTCTTCATTTGAACTCCGATTTGAGCAACTCAAATTGCATTGGATTCGTCTTTTCAATATCTTTACTATGGACACTTTGAAATACCAAAATCATAAACATATTAAGTTTGTTATCATCAAAACATATGGTATGATTGAAGTTCGAAAAGCCAACAATCTCCCCCTTTTTGATGATGACAAACCACTTACGAAAAATATCTACAAACTGGCGTAATAAACATATTAAAAAAATAATATCATTTTTCTCATACTTTCTCCCCCTTTTGGAATCAATCAAAAAGGATAAAGAAATATTTTCATATCATTTTAATACCAATTGTAATAAGCACAAATCATCAAAACATATAAATTTAAAATTTCACTTTCCATGAAAAAAATGCAATCAATAAATACATTCTTATGAAATAATAAAGTATGAAACTCCCCCTAAATAAAAGAATTATATAATAAATGCACAAAATTTTCAAAAGACGTAACTCCCCCTAAAACTAGGCATACTAAAAAAAATGTATCAAGATGTTTCATGATTTTCAAAATAATGCTAAAAAAGCAAATATTATTCAATAACTCAAACAATCATAATAAATATGATATAATCCAAAGATGTCAATTTTAAGAGAAAATTTCTAAGGTCATAACAAATGTTAGAAACTCAAATGACTTTATACAAGTTACAAATTTTGTTCTATTTAAGAGAATATCAATTTCAATCCAATTATACCAATTGTTAAAAAATATATATATATACCAATTGTTCTAAAAAAAATGAACAAATTTGTTGAGATAAAAAGAGACATCAATTTTAAGCAATAAGAACAACGATTTCATCAATCAACCAATAGGGTTTTAAAAAAAAATTAAACAAATAAACCATTAGAACTCCCCCTATAAAAAATAATTGAACCATTAAAAAATTATTAAATATAGAGGCTTTTTATAAAATTTCAAACAAAACAAATAATTTCTTCAACTTTCATATCACATAACAACTAATAAATTCAACAATAATTATTCCACAAATAAATCAATACTTCAAGTAATCATTACTACCAAATAAACTCCTCCAATTAACCAAACAAATTTATTTTCAATTTTTAACTTATGCTCCAATAATAACTAAAAAAAATATTCAATATATCCTTCAAATAAATATCACACTAAATATTTTCAATATCACAATGTATTAAAAAAATCTCAATGCTCATTTAAAAATAAACAAAGTTAACAAATAAGGTGATTTTCCACTTGAAGCACCAAAAGACAGTTATAGAATTGTTTTTGTGATTATTTCCTTTTTGAACCAAGTAACCATTTCAAATTTGAATTTTGGAGCCAATCTACAAAAGATTTTCAAGAAGATTTTGGTACCTATACTTTCTTGGGTCCATGTAGATTAATACAAGTAACTTTTGGAACCCATTTCTTTTTAGTTCCATTTTTCATAACATTTAATTTTGGCAAATGACATGCATAAGATTTATGTCCAAATTTGCCACGAGAAAAACATAAGATATTGTGAAATTTTTCTCTTACAAAAAATTTATGCACATTCTTTTTCACATAATAATTCTTTCTATAAGCATGAAAAGATTTTGGTCTATGGAAGAAATTTCTTTTTCCATAAAAATTAGGAGCAATTTTCAATTTATAACAATTTGTTCTAATTTGACCTTTAACTCCACATTAATGACATATATGTACAAATGTATCATTATGCACAAATTTAGACTTAGCATGAAAATGATTAGGCACAAATTTAGGTACGTCATGCTTATTCACATCACACTTTGGTACAACATTAGGCAAATTTTCATTGTGCACAATAGAGGAGGCTTTAACAAAAATTGTTTTTGAAGTAGACGGTGTGGAAGTCTCATCAACATAATTTAATACTCTTTTATCATTACAAGATGTGCCAACGTCAATAATTGTATCTAATTTTTGTGCACCTATAGTCAATTTCTTAATACTTTATTTAACACATTCAAGCTCATTTATAAGATTTGCCTCTTTTTCTCTAAGAGTTTTAACAAGTTCATCTCTATCAAAAATATCATGTTCGAGAAATTTAATTTTATCTAATAAAGTAAGCTTCTCATCACATGAAATTTCCAATCACATCATGCTTCACAACATCATTTTTCAAGCATGCCTTTTCATCAACTAAAAAATTATTTTCAATATTCAAAATATCTATTTCATCTTTTAAAAATTTAATCTCATTAGACGTGCTAGAATATTTCTTTTTAAGAGCTATCTATTTTGAGCATACTTTTTCAAATTCAACTCTAATTTCTTCATATGCATCCATAAGCTCATCATAAGAGTGTTTTTCAATACTTACCCCATTGTTGTTATCTTCTTCATTTTCAAATGTCATAAAGCACATATTAGCAATTTCTTCATTATCTTCGTTACTACTCTCATCAGAATCATCCCAAGTAGCTTTAAACGCCTTCCTTTTGGATTTCTTTGAAGAAGATTTTAGTTGAGGAGAATTGTATTTCACGTGCTCCACTTTCTTACACTCATAGCAAATAATACCTTCATGATTGCTCTTTTCTCCCTTTGACTCTTGGTGGAAACCTTTTCTTGAGAAATACTTCCTCTTAAAATGATTTTTGAATTTCCTTGTGAGATAATCAAGTTCTTCGTCATTGAGCTCAAACTCATCATTGGAGTCCTCTTGGTTGGATGTGGACTTCAAAGCAATACTTTTCTTCTTTTTGGACTCATCCTCCAAGTGATCCTTCATGGTAATCTCATGAGTCATGAGTGAGCCAATAAGTTCCTCTAAAGGAAGTTTGGTGAGATCCTTTGCTTCTTAGATTGGTGTCACCTTTACTTCTCAATTCTTAAGAAGAGACCTAAGAATTTTTCTAACATTTTCCGATGTTGTATACTCTTTACCAAGACTCTTCAAGGCATTTATAATGTTAGAAAATCGAGTAAATATATCGGTAATTGACTCATTAGCATCCATCTTAAATAATTCATAATTATGAACAAGCATGCTAATTTGAGACTCTTTAACTTGGTTTGTTCCCTCATGAGTAACTTTAATAATATTCCAAATTTCTTTAGCCGAAGTACACATAGATATTCTATTAAATTCATCCTTCTATAAAGCACAATATAAACAATTCATAGCTTTAGCATTAAAAGAACACTTTTTCATTTCATTTTCATCATACTCATCTTCTAATTTAGGCACATCTTTACCATCTACTTTCTTCATGGGAATAAAAGGACCTTTAGCAACATTTAACCATAAATTAAAGTCAATAGATTGTAAATAGATTTTCATTCTAGCTTTCCAATATGCATAATTTGAGTCATCAAAGAAATGAGGTCTAGAAGGAGATTGACCTTCAATAATTCCATTTACCACAAAGTTTGTCATAATGCTCTAACAATTAAGTTTTCTAAACTTTTCAAAAAATTATTTTCAAAGATAATTTCAAAATATTTTATGAAATAAAACTTTCAAAGAGAAGCGATCTTACTACAATATCACTTGTTGGAGTGAAACTCAAACAATAGATATCAAACAAAATAATTTTTGAAATATATTTTAGATGCAAAAAAAAGAGCAACCCACTCTAATACCAATTGTTGGATTAGTATGGCAACACGGGGGGGAATGATGTTGACAATCAATTTACTAAACTTTTTCGAATTTAAGCATAAATCAAATAACCAAGTAAACTTTTTAAACAAAAGCAATTTATGCAATATTTATA